GAAAGAAGTTAAAATAATCAAATGATTACAATAAATGTATACAATTAAAATCAATTAGAATGCATAAGACAACATGAATACATTTTCTAAAGTTTAACTTGATTTTAAAATGTAGTGTCTGTTTTATCTGTTTAACAAGAATATGTTACATTTATTACTAACTATATAAATCTGCATGTCCTCAAATTAATTCTGGAAAGATATTTTGTTATTTTCAATGATCTGAGCTAGAGGATAATTGAATAGAAGTGGCCGAGAATAGAGCCCTGGGGAACTCCACAACATTTCTTGTAAATTCTGTTTTTTAATTTCTTATAGGCATTAAGTAGTCCTGTTGTTTAAATATGTTGTTCAATTTAATTCAAAGTTTCTTCTAATTTTTCACATCTTGTTATTAAATGGTTTTGCTGCAGTCAGTGTCAAACGCATCTAAGAGATCAAACAACACCTAACACTCAAACTTTTCCTTTGTCTTGTTTTTTCTCCTTTTCCTTTATTTTCAAGTGCTTTTGTTCATATAAGTTATCTACGTGTTCATTTTAAAAGAGTCCTTGTTGGCTAAATATATTACACATTATATCTAATATTTTATGCACCAGTGGTTCTGTAGATTGTATTTCCCCCAGGGATCTGACATCTGCGTCTAGTCTTGTTTCATTTTAACTTCAACTTTGAAACAGGCAACTGAGCTGTCACAGTGAAGTGTCACAAAAGCATGGATCTGTGTAAAAGGACAAAATTCTGGTGCTAATATTGGCTTCTCTCTGTGAAGCATGTGTCAATAATGTGACAGCTATATATCTACAGATGTCTGTGGTGATTTAATCAACTAAAGACTGACTGCCTGACTGCTTCATTACATTAAATATGCTCTGAATCTTCTCATGAATCACAGATAATGACAGTCCTTTTAGTCAAGTTATAACTTGACAGCTTGATTACAGCTGCCTACAGACGAAGAAATAAACCCTTTGTGTTTGTCAGAAGTACAACCACTGTGTTGTCTTTAGGGAAAGTACGCATTTTTGTGTATAAATGTTCTTTTGCGGAGAGCTTTGTGAAAATAAAGCCTCTCATGTCTGTTAAATGTGAAGCCACAGCTAGCAGCTAGTTAGCTTACCTAAGCATAGGGACTACAACCAGTAGTTTGTCCAATTTTTTAAGAAGCTTCACCAATACCATGATGCTCACTTATTTACATGTTGTATCACATCTTTGTAATCAATAAAAATAAATGGTGCTTGGTCAAGGGACTTGTGTTAACTGCATCTAATGGGTACTTTCACTTATTAAAACTTTACAGTGAGGTTTCAAGGGGAAAAAAAATTGGGCTAGAGTTTTGTACGATGCAACTAACAAGATCAAATAGACTGATATCTAAGTAAAGTACCTTCCAGTAGTATCCTAAAGACGTCTCTGAGGATTGTGACGGTGGTGCAGAGGACAAAGACGGAGAACAGGAACGTACAGATGGGATCTGCAATTTTATACTCGGGTGTAAAAGAGGAAAAAAATAGAGTTACAGTGCACACAAGAGACATCAGACGGTGTTTGTTTCAGGTCACAACAAAGAGAACATGTTGCAAGATGACTGAAAAGCTTTACCCACTCTGAATAAATTAAAGACGACAAACTGGCTTCACATGAAATCACATCACGTTGTATTTTATATTCAACATGTAGGATTATTCTATTGTTTTAACTTGTTTTTTTTTGTGTTTTTTGAGAAGTAGGAAAGCAACATAGATCATCTACATCAGTAAAAGTGAAAATATACCAGAAAATACTCCATACTACTACATGTAAAAGTCCAAGATGAAGTAATTTGAATTTGACAGAAATGTCACGAGCTAAATGTGCAATGTCTTAACTTAAAGTACTCATTCTTACATTAGATATTCTGTAAAACTTTAAATAAAGGCCCAACCCAAAAAAAGACCCTAGTCCCTTTTACTAGCCTGGTGTTGCTGCAAGTTTTGATACACAAAGGTATCAAAACTAAGTAGAAAAAGTAGCACAGCAGGTTGGCATAGCTGCTGTCTCACAAAGCGAGATCAAATTAGTGATTTCTAATTTCATTTTTAAACAATATCCCAAATGTGTACAATTACATATTCTGTCTGGTGTAAATGAAAAAAAATGTCTTTCCCATCTTTGCTATGCACGAGTTTGGTTTGAAACAAATGAAAGGCCCGTCTCGTGTTGACGCCTGTCCCAAATAAAGGCAGCATCATTTCATAGACTGAAGGAACTAAAAGCCCGGGCTTAAATTTGAAGTTTTATGGTGCATGTATCTAAATGCTTAGGGATATGATGAATTCTTAAGATGCTTTGTAAAGGATCGATCAGAAGTATGATACTAAATGCTAAATAATTTGAGTTATAACTACAATACTTCTCTGTGCAGTGTAGTGGAGAAGAAGTATAAAGTAGCATGAGATGAAAATACTCAGGTAAAATTCCAAAAAATCTGCAGAAAACGACCTAAAACTCAAGTCAACTTGACGTTTCGGTCTCACCCTAACATGAATGTGATCTATTATCTGACCCGAAAGTAGATGATGGTCGCTGCCACCATGACGCCGACGCTCTGCAGCAGATCTCCGACCACATGGATGAAGGCGGCCCGGACGCTCGTGTTGCTATGGCCACCGAGGAGTGAGTGGGAGTGGCCGTGGCCGTGAGAGACGGGACTGTGGCCGTCCTCGTCGATCTGGTGGTAACCGCTGCCGTGGGAGTGGAAGGTGGTGGAGTGGTGGAGGATGTAGGCCATGCTGCGGAAAGACAGAGGTATTTCAATTACACGCTGGAGTCGTATCAAGCATTTATTAAAAAAAGGTGTAGGTCTGACCTTTGAAATGTACTTTGAAACAAAGAAAAAATGTCCCCAAGGGAACATTCATGATTCCAAGTCAAAAACGATGTCCTTGACTTACAAAAAAAGTTCTCGCCATTCCTCTGCAATGAGCATTTTATTTAAAAAGTCGTCCATTCAGGCGTCTCTGCTCGTCGTCATAACTCTGTATTTATGTGTGAGCGTGTAAAAAGTCAAATTAGCATCGTTAACAACAGCACTAGTGTGGTTACGTCTACCATCGCACTAATCTCAAGTAAACAAAAGTGACAGCATCTAACTATGACGTCAAACGGAGGAGAAACCGACGCACAGTGTGACGTTACACGCCCAAAACTCCAAAACTACACATGAACACCTCAAAAGGAGTTAATGAAACTCTTCACCCTGGAAGGATTTTTCCCAAAGGTTAGTTTTCAGTTACCTAAAACACGTACTAAAGGTCAAAACGGACATAAAAACGTACGCTTTCAAAAATGACCGCCTACATGAGGACTAGGCCATACACTCAAGTTTGAAAACTGAGGACTTGAGACTTAACAAATTCACTTGGCATTCATGTCTAAAGACTAAACATAAACTTGAGACGGTTGGCTCAAAATAATTGACTTTTTCTCATTAAGTATTTCAACTCTTCTAGATAAGTTCCCTCTTTCCTGGGTAATTCAAAGTGCAAACATGCAAACCTGCTCGAACAGGATAGAGACCAAGAAACAATGCAAAAACTGCTAACATTTGGATTCAGAGATTGTCCTGTGGTTGAAGCTCAAAAGACGAGAACAGCGATCTTCAGCTCAGAAATCAGTGGTCGAACCCTCACCTCTTACTACTCCCTTTAATTTAAAACCCACAGGTCTTCAATTAGGAGGCTTGTTGTTCATTTCTACAAAAATGTTGAATATCAGTCAGAATAAAAGGTGTGAGCGGGCTGCCGGAGACATTTAAAGAGATGTTCGCCCCTCATCCTGACTGAGTGTTTCCATAAAACGATCACTGTCCAGCAGACTCTCTTCACATAGTGTCGAGCTCCAAGTGTCATCAGTAACTGTTCTCACACCGACATAATGTACCATATTAACACTCATTATGCCGAGCAGCACTCACATGATATTGACGATGACGGCGCACCCGGAGGTGACCAGCATCACATGGCCATCGATCTCGTAGTCGTTGCGTATGATCCTCTCGATGGCTAAATAGACCAGAGCCCCCGTCACAATCCAGATGGAGATGACTGAGACGAACGCCCCGAGGATCTCTGTGGAGAGAGAGAAAGAAATCTTAATCACTTTTACATATTCACACACTTCATCACACTCACAACAGCACCAGTGTGTCAGAGTATCTCAGCAGGACATGAAGTTAAGTTACAGAACACATCGCTCAGAGGCAGAACCTCGACAATTGAAAATTGAAATTTGATGTTTGTTAAGATTCTCTGAAGAAAGTGGACACATAGGGAGGAGTGGTCTTAAAGAGACACCAGCTGAAGGACAAAGTTAGCTGACAGATTAGATGCACTGCTTTGTCCACACGGGGCACCAACATCTACAGAAACTTAAAGAGGACATATTATCCCTCTTCTCCACCTTTTCAAACAGTCCCCTGTGGTCTAAATGAAACATCTGTGCTGTGCTTTGGTCAAAATATAACATGAATCAAGCGCCAGAGGAGGTTTGTGACCCTGTATAAACCAGTTCTCTCAGAACGCTCCGTTTTGGTGTGTGTGTCTCTTTTAAATGCAATGAGCCCGCCTTGAGTTTTCCCAGTAGACATCACTCCTCTGTAGAGAGAATAAAACCTGTGTTAAAGTTTTGTTCTAGGCTGGGGGTGGAGTCCATGCGTGGCAATACCAGGGGAGGGGAGGAGAGGGGATTTTTTTTTACCTCTGTGACATCACAAGGAGAGCACATTTGAAACAGAGCATTTTTCTCTGTGTTGTAAGACTTATGCAGACCACAAACAAAGGACTGGATGGATTTATTTTATATGCTGTGGGTCAGTAGACACTCAGGTTACCCAAATATATGTTCAAAAACATTGTACAAGTGGATTTTTCATAATACGTCTCCTTTAAAGTTCATCCCAGGAGCTTTGTACAGGTGCCATATGCACCTTGTTGAAGGTTATATGTGATACCAAAAGCACGTTTTTTTGCCCAGATATTTTAGCCTTTGAGTTGAATAACACTGCTTTGAATTATTAGAAAGGATATATATGGAGCACCACCTTAAGGAGGAAAAAGTGTAAGAGTCTCAGATGTAAATATGCTGACGGACTCATTTTGTGAAAGCTAATGCAGAGTTGTCATATTGTCTCCTCCATCTGCTGAAAAACATCAAATGTACACTACACTGAAAACTTGCTGCCCTGAAGGAGACACAGATTGGATTTAAACTCAAAGAGCAGAACAAAGAGTTTGTTACAGCCTCAAAACCCGGAGGCCGTAAACATATAGGGACAGCACACACATTGAAAGGTTTAAACTCAGAGCTTTGTTTGCATTAATCCCCCCCAAAATAACAAAGAATAAACTAAAGAGAACCAAAGGGACTGGAGACTTCAGCCAAAAGGACAAAAGATGGGAAGGTACTGAGCTAGCAAAGCTAAAAAAATGACCTAATAGTTAAATTAAACTAAGAGAAAACAAAGGCCTGAAGTGATCTCCAGCCCAAACTAAATAAGCAAACCCAGCGATCTAAAAATGAGCGGGGGAAATAATAAATACCTGGGATGGGGAAAAAAGATGGTGAAACAAAGCTTTTCTGCCCATCCCTCCAAACATCCCTTCATCTCCTCCCCCTCTTTCCTCACACCATCCCTCCACTCAGCCGTACAGTATATCTGATCCCTCGCACTGACCTGATCTGTGCCAGCCGAAGTTCATGGTTTTGGTGGGCGGTCTGGACGAGATCCACAGCGAGAACAGGCTCACCATCATGCTGCCGAAATCTGTCAGGAGGTGCGCCGCATCCGTCATGATGGCCAAGCTGTGGGCCAGGTAGCCTCCTGCAGGACACCAGGGAAACAAATCCTCACATAGACTCCCCAAATCAACAAAGTTTGTGGAGATTTCTTAATTTTAATTTGGCATTTAGAAAATATATGTTAGAGCTCGACCGATTTTTTCAGCCAGCCGATATTAGCTTATGCAGTGACTATCGTATCGGCTAATTTTATCGCAAATATGCACCGATATAACTAGATTAATTCACCAGTCAAATAGCATTTTCATTTGAGTATCATTGTATTACATTAGCAGCTCTCGTTCTGGCTGTCACCAGCAGAGGGCGCTATATGGATTACAACAAGCATTATCACTCTCCTGAGGGTCAAGCTGTGACGCACCTACATGGGCAGTTACCTTCCGGGTGAGTGGCCATCTTGTCTTCCTGATACTGTATATCTTTTCCGCAAGTGTTCTATCTATATCCATCAACCTAGATCAAACATAGATTTTAAAAAGATATCAGCCGATATAGTGATATCGGATATATTTTTTTCCTCCCCAATATCAATATCGGTATCGGCCCCAAAAATTCTGAATCGGTCGGGCTCTAATATTGTGAGTATTTGTAAAACCTTAAATCATAAATCAATTTTCTGTTTCAGAGTAATCCTTGCATGAAGGTGAATAATGTTCCTCATACAAACTAATGGAAATTATATACAACAAGGAGCAAACACATTTTCACTGAAGAGAAGTTTTATGTTTATTTGATTTCTTAGTGATCAAGCGGACGTGTTTTATGAAATGAAACTGTCTTTAAAAAGTTGCTGACGTGGAGAGTGCCTCCAGCCTCTGAGCAGCAACAGACTTTAATTACACCTATCCCACCGCCGTTTAAAGCTTTATAAAACGTGTAATTGAATGCAGTTACACACCGTCATCTGTATTAAAATATAACTTCTTTTTTTTTTAGTGCAACGCCCCGGGTAAAAAGGATGCGACAGTCTTTTATATCATCGTAAACATCCGGGCAATCGGCCAATGAATGTGCAGCACCATTTCATCCTCTCAGCATTAAAAACGTTTGAGGCTTTATTGTTGTTTAAGAAATAAATGTGCAGATTTGGATACTAAGGTGTGGTAAAGATGTTATTTCCTAAAATTGCATATAAAAAAAAAAAAATTATTATGTCATAAATTAACTTCTGGATGTTTCCTCATACCCCTCTGATGTCTGAAGTGAACTCTGCTGTCGGAGCATTTTGAAAGCAGATGTTGTGAATCCAGAGACATTAAAGCTCCGTCACTCATGTGTCAGAAGAAACCACTTTCACCGACTGACACAAAGCTTCCGACGGAGCAGCTATGGCTTCATGAGATTTCCATCGGGACGGGCTGTCAGTTCTACTAAAACTTTACACGACATAAAAAAGTCCACTGCAGCTTCCTGACTAAACTCAAACTGACCTCCTGAACATCACAAGCTGTCCATACCAAGAGGGGCGTGTCCAGACTTTTGGCCCAAGTGGGACACTGACTTTTGCAAGATTGGTCTGAAATGTGATACAATCCAATACTGTTTCAAACCTCACCAATCATATCTACTTTACTTTTTATTTTTTATTTTATTTAACTTTTATTCACCAAAACGTGCATACACACACTCACACAATAATAATAAAAAGGGATGCAAACAAGAGGGGAACTGTGGTACGATACAGTTTTGCAAGCAGATTTAGACAAAAACAAACAAACAAACAAAACAAAAGGAAAAGGGTCAGTAAATAAAATGAGTGACAAAATAAGTAAATGAGCAAACATGTGGACAGTATAGTAACAACATTATATAAATAAAAGTGGTGGGATAGGTTGTACACATGATGATGATTTTTGGTGTTATTTGTTTTTGTTTTGTTTTTCACTTTGTATGGTGCTAACATGATGATTGACTGTTTGTAAATTATATTAAAATTGTCATATCTACTTTATAACATGAGATAATGGCAACATTAACTGAAATTTTAATGACACAAAAATAAGCTTTATGTCCAAAGCCATAATTTACGGTACTTAAATATGTGCATGCAAACTCCTGCACAGTCTAACATTACCAGGTAGTTAATTACATGTAAGACAGCGTGCATAACTTTTCTTTACACCTGATTTATTAAAAAGATTCGCAAAATTTGTATTTACAATAAAAGTACAAACAAACAAAAATATGTTACATTGATATGTACAGAAAAATCATAGCAGCCTTTCTAAAAAATTACCTAATATTTGGTTTTAACATAAGTCCCGCCTCTGACAGGGCAAATAGCCAATCACAGTTTAGGATTTTTTGGGGGTGGCCAATCAGATTTCTAGGGGGACCATGCCCATTGGATGATTTATTAGTGTTGTTTATGTATTTGTATGTCTCCAGCTGCAAACAAATTTCCCTGTGGGGACAATAAAGATACCGTTGACCTTTGACCTTTGAGTGTTGTGTCTGAAGAGGATACACTATTTTTCTCACCTATGACCTCTCCGATCATGAAGACGAGGCAGACGGCTGAGGCGATGTAGAGTTTCTTCTGGGCCAGCAGTCTGTCCCCGCCGTCCTCACACTTCAGAGCTTTGGCGCCGTGGCAGTGAGCGCCGACGGGCCGCTTCAGCTCGATGGCGCCGGCCACGCCTCCATTCTTGAAAGGGAAGTCTGGATACTGGTCTTTAGAGTCTGGAAAGGAGCTGCAGGAAACAAAAAGTGTGTTTGTTCATCCCTTTAGTTCTACTGTTTTAAAAAACAAGTTTCATTGAGCCGGATTTTAGTCATGAGAGCTGAACGAAATGCTGAGTTTTCCATTTTCTCTCACACACACGCACACA